TTCGAATCTACTGAATTGGAGCTGATAATAGAAATAGAATCAGATGGTATTGTCGTCAATGATATATTGTCCGGGCTGCTAAAAGAATTGGAATCAGATACATCATTTTCAGTCAAACGTTGCTGAACTTCGTTCGAATCTACTGAATTGGAGCTGATAATAGAATTAGAATCAGATGGTATTGTAGTCAATGATATATTGTCCGGGCTTTGGGAAATTATTAGCTTAGATTCATTTGAGTCATCTGAAAAGTTGAAAAAAGAATAGGGTTCATGTAATGGTAATGCCGTAGTTTTTATCGGTTCATAATATGAAATTGGAAATGCGTTTGGGGTTTGTTGACTCAAAGCTTCGTTTGGACTAAATTGTTTCAAAGTATCGAGAACTTCTTCTGTTTCTGGTCGGTTGGCAGGATCGCTGTCCCAACATCGTTTGTAAAGTTCAATATATTGAGGTGGTGTGCCTTCTATTGGTTTTTCTCTATTTCCTTGGAATATGTGAATAGCAAGTGAATATTCTGAATTAAAAGTTTCATATGGTGGCCTTCCACTTGAAATTTCCCAGAGGATTACTCCAAGGCTATAGACGTCAGATTTCTTATCACGTTTATATTTATTATTGTCAAGATATTGTGGTTCGATATATGCCGGCATTCCATGAACTTTTGAATTCGACGTCATAGACATTTCATTTATTTGCTTTGATAGTCCAAAATCTGCAATCTTTGATTGTCCTTGATGAATTAAGATATTCTTAGAATGCTATTAAATATACCAAAAGATTAGTTTTTATTACTAAAATTCACGAACAGATAGACATAATATACTTACAAGATCTCTATGAATAATGTTATTATTGTGTAAGGCCAAAAGACCACGCGTTACTTCCTCCGCGATCTGTAATTTGTCTGCCCATTGTAATCTTGTAAAATTCGCTTTCAAATATTCTCGTAAAGTCCCATCGTTAGCATATTGTAAAACCATGTTATAATATCCGTTATTATCTATTCATTTGTAATTAATACTATAATTAAAAGAT